TATTTGTCTGTGAATTTATGGGATCAGAGTTTATTTTCTCTACCATAGCACTATATGAGCTCACTCAATTTGACCAACCTTGTAATCACCATGTAACTATGAAACTTTACAGACCATAACTTCTAATGTGATAAGTGTATCTTCATGAAATTTTGCCAGTCTTTTGTAGGTTTTTTTAATCAGGGTATTATTACTACATATTTGTCTGTGAATTTATGAAGTCAGAGTCTGTTATTTTCTCTACCTTAACACTACATGAGCTCACTCAATTTGACCAACCTTGTTATCACCACAAAGAGTACAAAATATATCTAAATTACTTTTTTTTCTTTCTAGAATGACTGTAGATTGTAACAGAAAATTAGAATTATTTATCCTAAGTAGTCTCAGGCACAAAACAGTTCACATATGTTTGATTTGATTTTATTGCTTTAATGCTCTTTGAACCATACTTAGACTTACTACTAATCCCATGTAACAAGCTAAGAATCGCCTGTTTAATGCGTAGATCAAATTATGGTATTAATTTACATAATGCACGTGCTTCTTCTATGCGTACCTCATAGAAAAATTAATTTATTATTTTTTACTTAATTTTTTAATTTATGCTTTTTTATCTAACCTAATAAATTTTCAATTTTATATTATTGTTACATTTATAACAATGTATAAAAATATACGTAAAACTAGAAATTTAGTACTTAAGTGTGGGTCTTGTACATTTTTGCAGTCAAAAAACTCGAAATGGGGTAAACTTAACCATAATTTTTTGGTAATTGTTAGTACTTTACCAAATTCTTTTTATTTATTTCAAATATTTAACTTAGAACACATAGTAATAACATGCATACAATGCTCTATAACTATTATAATTTAGTTGGGTTTCTAACTAGTCTATGAGTGTGTTAAAGTAATTTGCTTAGCTGGTTGAGCTGAACTTGGTGATAGTAACTTTGAATCTGTATGCCAAATAATTCTAAAGCTTTCATAAGAAGGAGTTAGTTAAAGTAAATTAAAATCTTCTCTTTCTATTGGCTATAAATTATGTAGTAGCAAATTCCAGAGAGAATTTAATAAAATTTTTTGAAAGATAGTATGTGATAGGAGAGTGTAGCATGTAGGTTTAACTTTCTGGTATATATTTCTGAAAATCATGATGACTGGAGTCTATAAAATTATATTATGTCTCAGAAATACCTATGTTATAATTTTGTAATTTGAATTAAAACTCAAAAACTGAAATAAGGTTGGAAAGATTAAGTGGGTTATTTGGAGCATGTGATACATACAAGGGAGAATTTGAATTGCGTAAGTGTATACAAAGTTGTACAGATTAAAGAAGAATTAAACTGTGTTTTAAGTTGTTGAGATATATCACAAAACAAATAGAAAATCATTGTTGCAGCTTTCTCTGAGAATATTTTTTCCAAACACGGATATATTTCTAAAACTTTGCTCTGTTTATTAATGCTTACTATTCTACCTTTTTCTAAAAATATTCCATCCAATAAATCTTAAAAGCAAAATACTTTTTATAATTTTTAAGCCTAAAAAGTAGTACTTCATTTTATTAATTACCAGTATTCAAGCATTTTATAGCCAAATTCCAATTTGTAAGATTATAAATTTTGTTTACACAATGATGATAATGAAAATTCTTAATTTAATTTAGTACTTGTACTATTACCTGAGCAGTGACTTTCAACTAGCACTTTATGTTATGTTATTATTATGTTTATGTTATGTTAAATAATCAAGGTTATATGTAATGAAATGTTGAAATGTCAAGGTAGCCACCATTTGCTATTTACTAGAATTGTGAAATGCTTTATAAGGGTAAAGTTAAACACCCCGTGCCAAAACAAAAGCTGTCAAGATTTTTTTGTTGCCACAGAATAATGTAATAAGTAAGTTAATGATATATTTCTATCCATTTCGTAACTAAGATTGATGTTTGGAACTTGGTAAACAAAGTGTTTGATGTGTCAGTGATCCGTCTTGTGTTTTATGACAATTTCTTTAGGAATACGACAAACAATGTGGAACCTCTAGGGTATGGACCCATCAAGCCTTGTGAGAAATTTGTGCTGTTACCAAGTCAAAGTTCAGCATTCTACCCACTCTACAAGACTTGTGTTTCTCCATCAGCCTCAGACAGTGCTCTGCATCAGTTAACCTCATCACATACTTTAACTGAAGAAAAGCTGCAATAACTTGAACATGAGATGCTGTTACATTCTCTTCTCATGACAGCTATGTAATCCAATTATGGTTAGTTGTCATAAGACCTATATTACCGTGTTGTTTCGGAATAGTCAAAATTTGGAATACTGGTATCCTCTTCTACACCAATTCTATGAAAACACATAGAAAATGTGGATGTGTAACAATTTATTTGGTAATTCTTCAAGACTTGCCCACTATTTACTTGTGTTAACACCTTATTAAACTCATCACTGTGATGTCTGCTGGTTACCGTTTCTTCCAGAAACAGAAAATTGCAGTTACAATTTTGACAGTCCACAGTTTTTAGAGAATAGTGTTATAGTTAAAAAAAAATGTTGTTATGACTGAAGTATCCATGAACATTTTATCTTAAGAAAATATTAGTGTAAAACAGTACACTTTTATTTTGTACACATGTTGTTAATTAGATGTATTGGAACAAGGTTAAGCAATGGATCTAGTTTATACGAGTTTGAGATGTCTTAAAGTGAATTCAATTTTAAAAGCATTTTGGACCTGTTTAAGATTTTGAAGTGATGACACTATTGGAGGTTGTACCTGAAGAAAACAAGCAAGCATGCAGACATTTGAGAACATTTTACAGTGTTTCTTGGAAGCTGAGTTCGTACATGTTAAGGGACAACAGAGTAAGCTAAGAAAAATATATCTTAAATTTGAAGACATAAAGTCATAAAAAGAGTAGAAATTTGGATGGACATTTTGATACAAAGTATAAATAATTCTAAAAGAGTACTTGGTATAGATTCAGTATACTGTGTGTTGTGTTTTGTCATTTTTACCTAGATCTGTATATGTGACTACCACCAATTTTATATGATGTTTCTCTTTACCCTGTGTATTATATAGGGTTATAATGAGTATTCCTGCAGAGAAAAGTAATCTGTAATACTCAGCATAAAAAAATATAATAATAATATATATATATATATATAGATATATATGCTGTAAAACATATCTCTAAATAGAAAAACTGTGCAATTGTGTCTCCAACTACATGTACAATATGTTATATCAAAAGTTACTTTAGGTTCAAATAGCGTACTTCCTAGTAGTCACCACTTACATGCATCATTTATTGGTTTAGAGTTCATTTCTTTCTTGGCTCTTAAAATAGTTCTGGGTCTGTTGTTATTATTTTGTGCTTGCTAGCACCCAAATTTTCATCGGGTGGCTGATGGCATTCAGTTTAAAAATTTGTTTATCCTAAAGATTTCTGTAGCAGCACATCTTAAACTTAAGAGCAATTTACTCTTATAGGAAAACTGTTGATTAAATAAAAAATATTATATTTATGTTCTTCAGAACATGACTAACCTCAGAAAAATTTTTTGTTTTGTGTGATAGAACATCGGACAAAAAAAAAAAAAGATAGTGTTTGTTGTGGACAATTTTTCAGTTAATATTATTATGAGCTCTGAAAGAGTGCAGACGACAATATATGGATCAACTGAATTATATAATGTGATAATTTATTTTATGGTGGAACAATCATATTTTGATAAGCACATTTATAAACATTAGTAGGTATACTGATGGGTTCTAATTATTCAAGCGGTGTTGCTAATTTATATCTTTATTATTACAAAAATAAATTTATAAATAATTTTCCAAATCCAGAATTATTTTCCTTGACATATAGTTATACTGACGATTTAATTAGTATTAATAATACAGTAATAAGTAATTATATTTGTAATATTTATTCTACAGTTCTACAGATTGAGAATGCTTCTATATCAGATACTGAAGTACATTATTTAGATTTAGACATTAAGTTAATTAATAATTATAGTAATATTAATATTTATGATAAAAATTGATTTCACATTTCAAGTTTTTGGACTTCCCTCTCCAAACAGCAGTGTACCAACAAATGAAATACAGAGTATTATACGTTCACAGTTTTTTAGATATTGTAAAATTTGTAGCAGTGTACAGTTCTTAATATTAGTATATTAATACATAAACTGATTTTTAATGGATTTGATGAGAAAAAAACTGTAATTAAATATTTTAAAATATTTTATAATAAATATAAAAAGTATTTACATAAATTTGAAAATAGTAATTTAAACGAAATTATGATATACACAATAAAAAATGATTTCTAAAATTTATTGTAGGGGAAATAATTGGAATTCCTTATTTGGACATTTCATATCTTATATTGCTGGATTAATGTAGTTGTATCACCTTCCTAATATAAGGCCTTCCACTGTTTGAATCTCTTTAGAACCATTGAAGATCCAGATAATAGCGTGGAAGGGTGGAGGATGGGAGCTATACTAATAATTTAGTAATACTAATAATTAGTAATACCTTAACATCTTGGTATTTATGTCCAAACTTCATATTAGTGGCTGGAATTCTAACTTCAAGGACAGTTTTGCTATATCCCCCCTTTGATTTCTTGTATTCTAATTATTTCTTTCTTATTATTGTTTTTATGTTATTTATTTATTTTTTGTGAACAACTACCTTCCCACATATGGCTGCAGACAGCAAAAGGTGGTAAAGACATGGGACACTGTGAGCTAGAGCACCCACATCTGCTCCTATTTTTCTCTCTCTTCTAAGCATGTGAGGCTGGCAAAGTTTAGGTTAAACTGAACAGACAGTGTATCCTCAATGCAATTTGGGTCTTTACTTTTGTTTTATGGCTGCATTTTTTTTCTCTCTCTCTCACTTTCTCCATAAAATTACATTTAATTATATTTCAACTAAGGTTAGGATATGCTGTGTAAAATGTGTTAGGATATGCTTTATAAAATTATAAGCAATGTTTCCAATTTAGCAGATTTTCTGCTAGATATAGTGGATTTGCCAGGTCATCTTATGGAATAAGTTAAGTGATCACAAGAAATTAAATGGATCCATAAACATAAATAATTCCACCGCGCCTCTTTTTTTGTAGAGCTTTATTTTCTATAATTTTGAAATCAATTTAAAAGCTTCAAATACAAATTTCTATATCTAGGTTTCACCAAATATTATGCAGTCACTACATTCAAGATATGCTAGTCAATTTGTGAATTGGCGATAAGGTTAACTAATGACTGGTGACTTTAATAGTGCCATCTACTGTCTTGTATATTGTGCTGTTTATTAAACAGATCACGTGTATGCAGTTGGCAAATCAGTGCTTGATGAATTGTTGGTGAATAGTATATTATCTTTGATTTTAGTAACTGTTATTTCAAAGGTAGAAGAACTTGCATTAAAACTTTTTTATCATTGTTATCACTCTTTCTTAATTCTAGTGGGTTAGTGGTATTTTTTTAGCAGAGTCTTTAGGTTCATCTAGTGGAATTTAATATATTTAAATTGGTAATACTGCATTAAAGCTTTACCATTCTTTTTAGCACACAGTTTTCACATTGTATCATAATATTAAAACCATATTTTCATGTTCTAGAAATTTTTTAACCCTATTGAATGACAGTGCTTGTATGATTTTTATTTGCATGAAATATATTTTTCATCAAGAAACTGCATGGGGTAAAGAGAAAGAAACAGTCCTTCATTAACAAAATATGTTAAAATATATGTTCTTAGTTTTATCTTCATTTTCTGAGAATAAACAACAAAAAAATTAGCTACTTACTAGTATATTTCATAAATATACAAGGTTTTGAATATCATTAAAAAGCAACTGTTTTATCACTAAAAAACCTTGTTCTATCAAAGTCATATTCGTTTCGTTAGTTACATTTAAAAATTATTCTGTTACTTAGCATAAATCATTGAATTGGGTGAAAATGCAGATTACTTCAATAAAAACAAAAAATGGGTGCCTCTCTACAGTAAATCTAAAGATGGAGTATTTGTGAGAATGATTGTTTTCTAATTTTGTTTTTAGTGGGGGGGGGGGATTAGAACTTATCATCAGTAGTTAGTAATATCAAGTGGACTAATGAAAATAGAGAGTCCAAAGATCTTGTAAAGTAAACCACCTCGTCACTATGGTTTGACCTGTACGTGTGATTATTAACAACATGGTAGTTTGAAGAATAGCCTAAAACTCTGGGAAAAACATGTATCTGAATGTGCTTTATGTAAGATTACCTAGATACCAGTGGGATTGCGGCTACTGCATTTGGATGTTGAACTTCTAAAGTAAGACAGAATGCAGCAGAGTAATTATATGTTGTTTTTCAGAGCTGCAAAGGCTGCTTCCAAATATAGGGACTATATAAAGGAATAAAATTATATTTTGTTTATTGACATTCACGACCTCATTTAAGAAATAGTTCTGTTTTTTTTTAGCATAAGTAGTTGCGTACATAGTACTAGATTAGTTGGAAAACATAGTGGAAAGTCATGTTTTTAATATTTTCCTATACCAAATGCATTATTAATTTATATTTGTAACAGAAAATGATATGGAATAGGGTACAATCTAAATTTATAAACATGCATTAAATCTAGTTTTATGTTTACCGTTATTCAAGATGGTATAGCATGTTATAGAGGTGATTATAGCAGTTTTGTAAGAAATATAATATACTACTGGGAATGCATAGATAGTTTTCCACTATAGGCTGTTCTATTCTGTGTATATGCACTTGTGTTTGGCTTGTACACTCTAACATGGCTCACTAGGTCTGTTCATAATTTAATAAAATGTAAAGTTTTCAGAAATTATTGTTTATCCAACCACAAGAGCTAGTGTTTAATTAATTAAAAGGAGACTAAAGATATATATATATATGAATTACATTTTGTGTGTCAAGTGTTTTTCATGAAGAATACAAGTTTACAATATTTTGACAACTGTTGATATATTTATTACTAGCACTCCTAAGGAAAGTAACAGATTTATACTAGGTTCTGGCTCATTTCTGTGCCAATTATCACTCGACTTTCCTTTTATTACATTGTGAAGAAATACATTGTATGGTTTTGTATTTAAAGTATTCAGTAACTGCCTAAACCATGTTTGTTTTTGTGATTTTCATGACTTGCTATAAGAAACATTTGTGATTCTTTAAATCTGGAAGATAAAATGCTGTAGTATTTACTGTATAGTTGTATGGCATTACAACTTGCTCATCTGTATAGCATTTGACCTTTACAACATATCCTCCAATGTTTCAAGAATTAAAAAATAATAATTATTTCACCCAAGTTTCACCTCAGCTGTCAGCCAGTTGTTACAGTATTTGACATGAGTGCCAATGGAGTAGGTAGTGTTCTTCCACCCAAGTTGTATTTCAGTTATCAGTAAGTTCTTACTGTATATGACATGAGTAGACAGTGTCAGTAGAAAAGTGAGATGAAATGTTAAACTTAGAGAACTCAGGGCATTGGAAATTGAAATAAAAAACATTTTTTGTTTATTTGCAAGGAACCGTGTGTATGGAACTTATTATGGCTAGCAGTTTAAAAATCAGAGGTGTGTGTGTGGTATGGTTCTTATGAATGGAGATATGTTTTATTTTGAAAGTTGACTGCAATTATACACCAAAATATCTGACTACTGAGTGTTAAACTTTCCTGTGCCATGTAAGCCTTTAACACCAGAATCAGAAGAAAGTTTATTTTCTATATTTTAGTGACAATACAATGTAGAGTAAGAAGTGTTTTGAAGATGTATATATATATATACACACACACATATATATAAAATGATGGACTGTATGTAAAACCAAGTACAAACTTCAATATTAATGGCATGTGATGACATAAGCCCCAGCTTCCATTTCTTGTTCAACGCACACACCTTGTCTGATGGCTGGAAGCATGCCAAACTCCCATTAAGAAGTTGCTAATCCTACCCTAAGTTTTATGACCCCTTTTGTAGCCCCTCAAATCCAGGTTTCTTTTTTCTTTTCTTTTACTATTATTATTATTATTATAAGTCTGAGTGTTGTCACACTAGAACAGAAAACGTAGGGTTTCATGGTAGATTAGTGATCATTATATAGTTAAAACACTTTAATATTTGGTTTCGTAAGAAGTTTCCAAAATTTCAATGCTTTTTATTTCTTTTTTTTTATGTTGATTACTTACATGTCTCCTAATTCTTCAAGATGAATCTAAGCTACATTTTTATTTTGCTTAGGATGTTTAAATACAATGGAATTTTAAAAATTATTTTTAAAGTTTCTTTCTGCTATTTTACCCTTTGCTAGATCATAGATGTAGATATAATTGCTTAGGAAAGGGACCTTCAGTTAATTTTGATTTTAATTAGGAGTAAAAAAATGTTAGTGAATGAACATCACTTAATAATCCATAGCCTTTTGGAAGCTTATAATTTGTAGTAGTGTACTAGTGTAGTGAGTAGCCACAGTATGGGCTTTATGATTATAAATGTTTGTTGCTTTATTTTCACTTTAATAGTGAATTATTATGCCGAATTGGAAGTAGTAAGCACATATATTACTCAGTGGGTTACAAAATCTTTAAGAATGTGTAACAGTTAACAGTTCACTCTTGAAAACAAGTTATCTAGGAAAGAAATTGTGTTTGGGAAAGATTGATAAGTAATTAATGGAAGTGGAACATGATGCACATTTTTGTGATATTTTGTTCTACTTCAGCATGTGATTATAAACCATAAAATGGAGGGGGTTGTAGGTTGAGTAATTTCGTGCTGTATCATTTTAAAATAAAATCAAACTGTCATAAATTAATACAAACGTATTCTAAGTCAGTCTGTTAGTTCTACTCACTAATCCTCATTATACACAAGGGGTAAAATATGTGGAATAGGTTTTATTTAAACAGCAAATTAAAATTGGACAACTTGTTTAGCCTTTTTTTTTATTTAAATAATTTTTAAAACGTGTAAACTCATTATGAAATTTGTAATTTTAACAGATCAATAGTAAGGTTTTGATTTTGATTCTATTGAAGAAATCCCAGTGAAATTACATAAATTAATGGTTCTTACGGGTACATAATAATCTGTTTGTTTGTATGCCGTCCCTCTGGCAAAAAAAAAATGTCTTCTGGCTTGAA